GGCTCATATATATATATATCCCTATATACTCCCAACGCAGCCAAGCAATGAGCTGCATCAGGGTCTCCTGGCGCATAGCGGGTGATTCGCTCCTGTGGGATGCATCTTGGACGGTTTCAGTCCCCAATATATATATATATACATATAGGTATATATATATATTGGGGTAATGTTGGGGAGAATGGAAAAGAAAATGGAAACTACAGGGATTATATAGGGGTTACATATGGCTTGCATACCTCCTAATTTTGACTTGGCAGCATGTCGGGTGAGAAGAGCTCCGCACCGCGGGCGTGAAGCTGGTAGTGGCAAGTATTGCAAGGAATGTTGCACATTCTTGCCCGTTGCCCTGACACCAAGCCTACCCGAATCTACCCGAAAGGGATAGCTGAGGCTTATTCGAAGCAAGGCGCGAGTTCATGTGCCGTCAGCATCGCTACTCCAGCACCCGCACAGACCTTTGCAGTGGAGGTTCCATCGACTTCAATGGAATCCTAAAGGAGAAGGCGGAGTCCAGTCCGGACTTGCACGAGGTGCCTACGCCCGCCCATTTGTGGAAGGGAATGACCTAGAATTATGATGTTCATGTCACACGCAAGTAGGCAAGATTAAAATAGTCAAGAAGATGTTCGCTCCTGAGCGGGTCCCAGGAGACCCAAACTCCGAGAGCATGTGTGTTTGCAGGTGATCATCAAGACCAGATCTGGCTGCAGACACTGCGTTTTGCATCCCTATGGTTGGCCGAAGCTCCTCGGCTGAATCAATGAGAAGGGCGTCTCCCCCAGCCTTTGAAGCCAAATCTTTCAGCAACAGCTTGCTCCAAATAGGTGTTGGACTTGTTGAGGTTTTCATGGAGCATCATCCTTCTCCTGGCTGTCCTTTGGGATGCTGTCACCATCCCACTGCAGCTGTTTGACCTGGGCGCCTTCTCGCTTACACTAGACGCGATCAACAACGCGACCATCATGTTCTGGCTGGCTGAGTTTGATTGGTATTGGTTTTGTTGTAGATTCCTTCTCCGCTGCCGGATCAATTCGCGACTTGCGAGGTCATGTCTGTGTGTGCGGCCCAGGTTCTCTGATATCCCTGTCAGCTGCTTTACCGCTGTTGACCGCGACGGGGTTCTGGACTTCCGACCACGCTCTTGCATCCATGACTATCTGAGGCACTGTAGGGCCTAGGCACAGGTCCAGGTTGTGTCAGCTAGTTGCGGCAGGTAGTGTCGGTAGCCTTCTCATCAAGTATGTAGCGGCTTTCTTGTGCCTGATATAAGTGTCCCTTCTCACACTGACGACGTCAGGGGATGGTGCGTGCCCGACGTGCTGATGGTCTTGGGCGTTTTGTCCGGAACCAAAGCGGGTGTCCTTTTTCACGTTTTTGCAAACTCACACGTAGCAAAGCGCAACATGCGTGACTGCGTGACGGCATGGCATTATGCAGTTGCAAGGTTTGTAGGCATGGTTGACCTGGAGCAGTTACGTAACTTAGAGATGTGCACTTCCAAGGAGATGTGGTGGTATCAATTGTCACTTGGCTGGTTCAGGCTGTTCTGGATGCTCGCACGAACCGTTCCTTTTTCATTGGGCTACACAGATGGAGCCCACCAAAGCTACCAGCGCAAAAAACCTCACACAGAGGTCGGTTCCGACCAGAGCGTCGCCGCAGCGGCTAGCACTCAGTCGCCCGGCTTGCTTGCGCTCGGTTTCGACTGATGCGTCCTTTGCAAATGTGCCGTCATGCAAGAAGATGCTAGCTGCGCATTCCATGCTCCAAGCCATTCCAAGCCCCAACAAGGGGTCTCCGCGTTTCGCGGCTGATCCGTCTGTCTCGACTGGTGCGCCTTGTTCGGCTCTACAAGGCATCTGCCCCACAGCTGCAAGGCCTTTGGAAGCAGTACAGCACAGAAGGTCTGCGTTGAGGTACTATAATAGTAATATAGGACAGTATAGTATTCTAGTAATATAGCAATATGGCAACGTGGTAAGCTAGTGATCTAGAAAACAATTTGGGGTGACGATGGCTTTGGCGTGCCACGCTCCTTGCTGGGAAAACATCTTGCATGGCCTGGTCTGCTGCCATGCTTCCCACACAGACTTGCCACGGGGTAATATTGGGGTTATATTGGGGTTATATAGGGATAATAGAAAAGAAAATGGAAACTACTATTTAGGGTTTAGGATTAATGGGTTATGTCAATTGTCAGCAGCCACTTAGGCTACGGTGGAGTCATTGGTTGACTACGTTCGCTCCCCTTTGATAGTGGTATTGCGCCTTGATGGCAAAGTACCTTCTACGTGCACACGTTCAGCAAGGGGAGGAAATCATGAAGGACAAGAGTTCCAGTGCAAGGCCTGTCAACATTTGTAAGTTCAAAGGCGGCCTTGGTCGTTCCGCGAGAATTGGCCGCCTACAGCGCAATTCACACCAAGGATCGGGCTTGCCAAATTGATTTTATTCATCTTGTTTGCCACACGGCAGCATTTTAGTGATGAAGCATGATCGTTTTCGCTGTTTTTGACGGAGTGCAAAAGGCGCTGGACATGACTAGTGGGTCAGGTTTCATCAGGGTGTTCTTGCCACGCCTTGCAAATTTGCGGTTGTGTTGCTTCGAAGTCTGCAGTGGCGAATTTGCCGCTGCTGGCCAGTTTAGATGCCTCAGGTGAACCACTACATCGCATGCGTGTCTTGGCTGAATGAAGGAGGTCTGCTCTAATGCAAGCAGTAGACACTTCGTGAATACGAGAAAATCATCTACACATTGGCCGAATGCACACGGAAACATGACGGCTGCTGTGCTGGTGCTGGCTTGGCCAATCAAATCTGTACAGGCTTCCTTGCGATGCTGCAGTGAGCCAGCCAGCACAGCCAAAATGAAAGAAGCTACTTGTGGCTTCTGAAAGGGGAGGTAGACAGTGGGCAAGCCTGAGTCCATGTGGGCATCATGTAGGGCAATCAACGTAGCATGCTTTTCTAGGAAGTCCAGGGATGTAGCGACCTGATCTGCAGGCTTGGTGTGCAATGGCCTATTTCAGTGACCTCGCTGAATCAGCCTTGTGGAAGCAGCAAACGCTCCTGTGGCAACACTTGTGGCAAGCGTGCGGGTGTGCCTTGCTTCCTGGTGACACTTTTCTCCCGATTTCCTCATGCGACCAGAGGATGTATCAGGTAAGTGCTGCTATCAAGCTTATGCACAATGGTCTCAACACGGGACCAGACATGTTGTTGCCCTAGAGCTTCTTGACCGAGTTGTGCTTAGATTGGCCTGCTTTATCAAAGATCCGGTGACAAATGTGTAGCCTTCCGCGCTGAAGCGGTGCAGAAGCAAGCAAGGTGAAGGCCGCCCTACATGGGCAGATGGCCACTTGAAATCTCCTGATGATTTTCGCGAACTCTACGCTCCTTGGCCTTGGAAACTCCTGTAGTATATAGGAGGTATATGGGGGTAATATAGGGGTCATATGGGGATATTGATGCCCTCCATATTCCCTTCTTCCCTACGAAGAACCAGTAAGCCAAGCCACCGTGAGGCCTTGTCCCTGCATTGGAGCCTCACGCAGTTCACACCTTCGACCCAGGAGATTGAAGAACTTCAGGGAGCGTCGTCCTGGTGTTTTTTAGTAGGGAACTAGGGAAAAACAATTATATATAGAGAGAGAGAAAGAGTCAGTGGTTATGGGGAATAAGGGAATGTGTATAGGGTCTAAGAAAGTGGAAATGGCTACATTATAATAGGGTAAGTATGGGGGAATATAATCCCTGTATAGTCCAATATAACCCCAATATATTCCCTATAATCCCTACATAATCCCCATAGTTTCCATTTTCTTCTCCATTATCCCTATATGGTCCTTACATAATTCCTATGTAACATACTCCTTTATTCCCTAGCAAGAACGAATAAGTTGCTACATAACATGTGCCGGGTGATGTTTGCAGGACAAACCCCGAACCCTAAACCTATAGTAGTTCCCCTTTCATTTTCCATTACCTCAATATAACCTCAATATACTATAGTGGTTTCCATTTTCTTTTCCAGTATCCCAATATAAACCCAACATAACTAAGCCCTGTTTGCAGGACATTGGGCCGTCCAATGTTAGCGAGCGCATCTTTGCGGCCGGGGTCGTCATCTTTGCTCTCATCGTGTCCTGGCTTGAAAGGACTATGTGGAGGTTTCCGAAATTATAGGGGATAAATGGAGGATATATAGGAATATACAAGGGCTAGGGATTTCCCAAAATTAGAGGTACCTTTTTGGATTCCCCTATAATAAGGACTGTAGTATTTTGGGGTCTATATTGGGGGGCCCCCATCTATGGAAAGTACCATATCTTGCCAACAGGCGGCTATTCAATTTTAGAAGACCAAGATACAACGGGGGCATGAACGGCAAGTTGCCTGCTACTGATCTCAGATGCGTGATGGCACGGGCAAGAATTTAGCATGCTAGTGTGCCAGGTATTCTCCTCCTTTGTCAGCAGCATCACCAACCAGATGAATCAGATTCGTACATGGAACTCCAAGAACATCGAGCTGGATGCCGTGCTGCGGCATTTCCTTAGGTCAAGGAAGATCTCCACGCAGCTGGGAGTCCGGATTACCAACTTTTTCAAGAGCCTTGGTGCAGAAACAGAGCTGGGAAGGTCGTTGTGGAATGCTGATGTGAAGATACGGTCATTTTTGCTCCCGCTGAAGACTCGATTCAAAAGATTTCAGATCTACCATACCCCAATCCTACCCAAACCCTACCATACCCTACCCGTGCGACAGCAATCCTTACCTGCACCTCACGCAGGATCAGTCAAAAGCAGAAGGCGAAGACTCCTTTGGAAAGTATATCTTTCCTGGCAAGTCTGCCAGTGTCTTGTCTGAAAGTTTCAGGTGCGTGCAAGCCTTTCGCAAAACATCACGCAGCGGCCGAATGATCTGAAGGAAAGTTTGAAAATCCACCTATACAGCGAGATCTTCTTACCTGCCTTCAAGACCTCCGGCCTCTTCAGCTCCTGAGCGCGGTTCATGTTGACTGTTCAGAGCAGGTGTTGTGCCAACAGTGCCAGGTGTGCAGGTGAGTGACTAAAGCTGTGAACTCCCGAATTGCTCCTTCAGTAGCAGCATCAAGCATGTGAGTCTTGTCTGTAGCCGAGGCCGAGTCATGAGGGTCGATTACCGCCTGCTGTCCAAAACGTGCAGCCGAGCATTCAAGGCATATAGAGCTTATGGGACATAAAGGGCCGAGAGAGTGCGCAGCCCATGGCACCATCATTCGTCGTCAGCTGGTGCAGGAGCACTACTGCCCACCAGATATTGACATCTTCATTGAAGGGGCTACCGCGGCAGGCACACAGGGCAGGATTCAGCATGCCCATGTTGCGAGTATCAGGTTTTCAGACCTAAGCATATCATTGTAAACCATGCCAAATCGCGGCAAATCTCTGCTTCTGGGACCTTTGCTCGACCTTTGCAGGTGTCCTTGTGGTCCACCACGGTGATATGACATATCAGATCCTTGGCCCGCAGAAATTTCAGCTGCAGGTCCCACAGGGGCGGTAGGATATTATTACTATCATCACTGTTACTATTACTATTAGAATTATTATTACAACTATTCGGTTAGTCTATACTAATTGTTCATTCTATTGCTACTATTAGTACCATTAGTATGAGTACTAGTATTAGTATTGGTAACAGTATCAGTGTTAGTATTAGTATTAGTATTGATACGGTTTTATTGCTATTATTACTGGCTGGGTTGCATTTGTCTCTGTTGGAGAAGTTGGGGTTCAGTTTGGTGCAGCGCATGAGATCCAAGGCCTCGAGCCCTGTCGCGCTTCACGCATCTCAGTGCTGTGGGGCGCTCAAGGTTCTGATATTACACATAGGGTGTAGGGCTAGTAGGGAATAAGGGAATATAGATAGATAAATGAATATATATATATGAGGTTTAGGGTGAGCAGCGAGTTAGGGAATATATAGGGTATAGGTTCCAAAGCTGCAATGATTGCTTCCAATCAGAGCCATCCAACAGCACCCTACTCAATGGCGGAAATCAAGGAGTCCCACCAAGGTGAAGCCAGTGCGGCTGCAAAAGGGTGTTTGGATTTCTGAAGCATCCCTTTGGTGCGTCTGGTCATATGCTGGAAGCTTGCGAGCCGATACCGACGCTTGGCTGCACCTGTTCTCCATGTCTTCGTGATGTTGTGTCAAACCGGCGCTTGTAGCAACACTGTAGGGGCTCCATGATGTGAAGATGTGCGCGATATAGTAGTTTCCCCAAATAGGGGGACCCTACCAGTAATACGGACCCCAGTGTATTATCATCCTTTGTATGGGGACACCCCAAAAGGTTATCTCTTCTTTGGGGAAACTACACCATGCAGGCATGCGATTTCCATCTCCTGGACTCTGATGCTTTCAGCAGAGTTTGCCAGCCCGGTGACCCAGAGGGTTTAGGGTTTAGGGGTTTCCGGTTTATGGCCCAGAGAGGGCAAGGGAGACGCCAAAGGAAGAATTAGGGTATTCATTTGGTACTCATTTAGATTCAGGCCCTTGTCACCCCCTTTAAACCCTTGTATTACCTCAGTTTTCATGTGCTTACCATGTTCTTTTCCATCTGATTTTCCATTTTGGGAGAGCATGGGATTTCTGCATCCACTCACCGCTGAAAAATGAATGCAAACTGAGTCCCAGGAGCCATGGCGGCGCGTTGGTGGCAATCCTGCGGAAGCTTGCCGCCACCTACCTAGCTTTAGGGAGGAAGGAAGGTTGTGCAGATCACCTTTCAGAAAACTAGCCAGGTTCTCTTCATCGATTACATGGAGGACAGCTAAAGCCTCCAGATCGGCTTTAACTGCATCTTCTTGCAAAAGAGTCCCTGGTTTGATTGGAAGTTTTACCAAAGGCATGCAGGCCCAGGTATTTTCAGCTGCTGCTTCGCGCGGGCCGTAACATGTCCTTTAAGAAATTGGCGGAGTGCTCCCTGAGCAAACTGAAGTCGTTGCAGGAGAGGGCGCAGCAGTCCAACCCCATCACGGACATGCAGCTCGATTGATGCATTCTTTCTTGAGTTGGGCCAACTGCCAAGTCTTAGTCAGAGCACACAGATGGTGCCACGTCGTTAGTACGTCGTGGGTCGAACGAGGGCCTTCCCAGCAAGCTTGACACATTTGCAGACACCTTTGCAGCCAAGGCCACTATCTGATGCAGAGTGGGAGTCGCTGCTGGAACGTTCTGACAAGCTACTCGCCGGCACAAAAGCAGAAGTCTCATGTACCTCAGGTCTGCAGAGCCCTTAATGTGCCTGACTGAGTTTTCAAGTGTCATGTTGAAGCCCAACTCGTGCTTCAGTTGTTTTTTTCTAATTTTCAGTTGTTTCACGAGACCACATCAACAGTATGAACACGGCAGCTGCGCCAGCTGCAGCTTTCCAGAGTGGCAGCTGTAATTCTTAGCTGCCATCTCCAGTCCTGAGCACATATACTTAGCTTGGCTCAATGGGTCCTTGTTTTGAAACGTCCCGCAAAGGTGGCATCTGAAGCGAGTTGGTATTTGTCAGGCTGACAGTGTTTTGAAGTGATTGCAAGGTTTCCCTCATATGGGGCCTGCGCTAGATGGTGCACAGTGCCTTTAAACCGGCTTTGTTCCTCCCGCAGAGCGGGTCGCCTCTACGTCAAGATTCCAGGATACCCGCGCCCGAGGGGGTGGGAAGGGGTTTACAGTACGAAGATGCCCTGCAAAGCCCGGCGTGAAGCTGTACCCACAACATCCCACGGCTTCAAGGGTAGCTGTACGGGCGCGGTTTTCACTATGGGTGGAGGTGCTGCGCGGAGTTTTCTTGCGGGTGGTTTGGCTCGTGTGTTCAGCAAGACGGTCCAACTTTGCCCATGTCATGAGCGCGTTCCATTGGTTAAGGCTCGAGAAGATGAAAACGATGACCTCAGCTCAGCTGCCTACCCCTGGCTTCTTCTTTCTCATGTCGCCAATCTGCTTGATGTTTTTGATTGGGGTCGTAGCCTCGAGGATGCAATTGGCTTTGCCCCGGCCTGATTGGAAGTGAAAGCGGACGTTTTCTTCCCGGCATCTACGCGTGCGAAGCAGGAGCTGCAACTAGTCCATCGCAAGCTTTGCTAAATGCGGCAGCATGTTCGCGCTGTGTAGGTAAGAAGAACAGTGTTAAGGGCATTTGGGGCGTCAAGATGAGGAGATTGTGCAGTAGCTGCAGGTCATTGCTAGGCAGCTGGTACCAGCAGCTTGCCTTAGCTGCCAATTTGTGTCCTCACCTTTTCCGGAACAGAATTGGGCATTGCCCACAAGTTCGAGCTTTGCTGCACAATGTGATGCACAGTTCTAGAAGCATCGAGAGACCATCATCTTGGCAACTGCAGGGGCCGCCACGTGCAAAGTAGCGAGCGCATCGCGGGAACGAACTCCAACCAGCTCATTAGCGTAAGCGAAGATGGGGCATCACTGTGCAAGCAGCCAGCTCATGCTTGATTGTGGTCAAGCTCCGCACTGCACGCGGTCACTTGCACATGTGTAATTTCAGCTTTCACATGCAACGTTTCTAGAGTGCTCAAAACTGTCGTGCAAATGACAGGCCGTTTAGGAGGGCATCTCACCTCTCAATCGTTGCTCTCCTGCCGGCAACTTGAACTTTCTTGGAAGCATCAGCTGGGACACGAGGAGTGGTAGACTCATGCCAGGGAGCCGTAGCCAGGCAAACATCATCCAGCTGCGAGTTTCTGAATTCGGAGGGAGGCTTTGCCTTCAGCATGCAGGGCCCGCTTTCTGCACATGACTTGCAGCTTTCCAATGTGAAAGAAGCAGCCGCAGAGGGCATAAGGATACACCATCTCCATCAAGGCATGTGCCATCGATGTTGCTTTGGCCGTCCGTGCTTCTCCAAGAGCACAAGCCCGCGCAGATGCCTACTCTGGAACCAGATAGGCCTTGCGCAACAGAGGCCGCGTGTTGTAGAAGGTTACAGGGGTCGGCACTTAGGTGCGGGATGGGCCACCATGGGCCGCCCCTCACACCTTCTTGATACACTTCACGCCTCTCAAACCTTGCATGGTTCCAAGTACAAGTAGCAGCCAAATCTGTACAGATCAACTGGCGCTCAAATTCTTATGTGCTCAAAATCCAACTATGACGAACCCCTGTGTGACTGCTGCCGACAGAGCCGATATCACGCGTGGTTTGGACCGTGCAGGGCGCATCCTTTTGCATTTGCTACAGTTCTCAAAGCTTTGCGCCTTGGCTTACAGCTTGATACGTCCTATTCGGCGTATGCTGATGGTACCTGGTCTCTGGGGTACACATACACATATATGCATATATATATATGTATATAATTTTGTTTGTACTTTAAGACTTAGGCTGCACGTACATGCGCTGGAGTGCCGGCCAGGTCCCAAGTGTGGATCTATCTTGTTGTTTATGTACAGGGACATTGCAGACAGATCATAAGAAGAGTAGTTATGGCTTCCTGCAAAACAAAGGAGCAAGCACCTGACAAACAAGTCTCAACCCTCCCTTCGAGGCTAGGGGATTTGCTTCTTCTCACTGCAATGGCTCGCACGCCGAACCGGATTGACCATGGAACTGGCGACGTTCAGGGCCGCATAGAAACCCTAAAGCGGTTGACTATGCTTCTGGGCGGCTTTAGTTCCCAAAACATCAGAGCATTCGGATGGATTTGAGGCATCTCCCCGTTGTTGCATTTGAGGTCTTGACTGTTGAATCCCAATCACCGACCCACGATTTTGAGAACCGTCGTTCTATTTCCTCATGAGGCTAAATCAAAAGCACTAGTACTAGTAGCTTCCAAGTTGCCCAGCTTGCGACAAGCACCTTCGCGACAGAGCTTTGTTGTGGGGCATTCGTGTACCAAGCATGTGCCAAAAAGGTATGTAACAGCAGGTCGCCACAAAGGGGTCTGTAGCATAGTTGCCTGGTTTCTGGCGGCCCTGGCAGCAAAGGGGGATTTTGCTGCAATACTTGCAAAACGCAAGATCCACAAACTATTCCTTAGAGGTGCTTCGAAGTTGATCGATGTGTCGCAGTTTCTTTCTGGGATGAGCCTTCCGTGACTTGAGTACGTGTGCTTCGCAGATGCCTCAAGATCACGCTGCGGCGAATATCACCACCACGGTCACAATATACTGCATGTGCAAGAGGTGGTTCTGGGTATGCAGTTTGAAGCTTTGGATGGACCAGCTGGAGCTTTCAAGAGTCAACGCCCCGCACTCTCGCTGCAGGTCGTCCGAAACAGAACGGTTGCGGATGGGATTTCGTCAAAAGCCTGGCCCTGCCAGGCCTTGAAAATGTAAATATAGACTACGGTGCCAGTGCTTCATGCATCTCAGACTGAGTCCAATCCTGGCTCACGTTTCCTGTCAGGCAGACAACGTCGGCTGGGCCAATCCCTGCACGGCTTCCGCTGGAGTCACTGGAGCTTCCAGAAGCCGATCGCCGGGCAGAGCCATCTCCCGTGCCAGAGCAATCAATAAACCTATAGGCCTACGGGTGTTTGATCTCTGTAATAATTTACTGTATGTATGGGAAGTGCTTAGCCAGGAGATGCCCCTGGTTTGGCAAGATCCTGGGCTTCCTGAAACAGTTGTGTGTGTCACTAGATCTACCGTGGGACGTCTGAAGCTTTGGTGCGCAGCTCCAAGGCAACGCAGACAGCCTCGGCCGCCTCGGCGAAGCTACGCGCGGCACTGCTCTTCGAAGAGTCTGAGGCCATGGCACAGTCCCGCAAATTAAACATATTGTCTTTGGCCCCTATTGCTCCATACATGCAGTTTCGAGATCTCCTTGCCCACACCATGCCATCGTCTCAACGCAGAGCTCAGTCCTAGCTTGGCCTTCATTGCATCGCCAGGCAGCCGAGGTTCGCAACTTCCTGATCGAAAGTGGGCTGTGCCACGTCTTTTGTTGTAAAGGCAGCTTAAGCGGACCAATGTGAGCTTGTCACATGTGACTTGGTGGTCCTATCGGAGTCGTCTCCGCGCAATTTCCGAAGCAAAGGCATGCCTACGTGGATGCCTTCATTGAAAATGGCTTCGACTGCATGGACGTGGTGCAGGACCAGCCGCACACTTTGGAATTCTGCAGCAGGGGCGAAGTCTTTGCACACTCGCTGGGAATGGCTTGGGTTGTTGTGTAAGCTTGGCCCCATGAGGAAATGGAGGAGCGGCATATGAAGGACATGGGCATGAAACCCGGTCACATGATCAAGCTGAAGCTGCCGCTTGGCATTTCTGGGGTGCCCGGAGCATCCTGGTTAAGACTAGGCAAGAAATCCTATCAGGTCACAACACTCTGAAGACTCCAACTTGAGTTTGAGATTCCTGCTTGATCGACAAAACTAAAGCACCTTTGGAGTTCAGAGGGCAAAGTTCTCACGGTGATCCCCCCCCCACAAACGCATATTTCTTTCATGGCTACAAACCAATACGTGGAGGCAGTGTGATAGCTTTTCCGGTTTCATGCGTCTTTCAAGAAGTTCCTGTTGGCACATGCGATCCTGTCGGGCTCAGAGAGGTGCATATAAGTTTTCTGAGGCGACTTGCATCCCGAGTTTCATCCAGCAGCTCGGCTTGAGAATAAAAATGTAAGTACAGTCCGTAGCAGCTGCTGTATCTCTTGCATATGTAGTTCTCCCCCAACAGCAAGACTTTTCAGGATGCAAAGCCCTACTCGTGTAATCTGAGAGACTGGTACACAGGTTAAGGGGTTGGCGATTCATGTAGATGTGCGGTTTTCTGCCGAGCTGGTGGAGGTCCGAGACCCAGCGTTCTGGAAAGCAAGCCGCATGTGGTGGCAGAGATTGTGCAGGACGCGGCTTCGATTTGCCTCAGATCAGTCTGATGGGATGGTTGCTGCAGGAGACTTCTAGAAACACAGCTTCACAGTCACAAGAGCTGGAGGCAGGTGGTGCTTGCAAACCCCGGAAGTGAGCAGTTCCAGAACTCTAGGTGCCCTGGATCACACCATCTTCCACCGCCCAACACAGCCGACGTTCAGTCGAGGACTTCAAAGTTCGTGTGGTGTGTGGGGTAGCACACGCATTCTGAACATTTCAGATAGTTGTTGGCCCTGGAGTTTTAGCCTCGCGCTGCTGCGGATGTTTTCCAGGAACATGCGGATCTCCTGCATGGCGAGTTGGACGAGGCCGCAGAGGCGCGATCTGCCGTTGAAAGTTGCATGGCTCCTTTCCTATTCGCCGCGTGGCTGCCACGTCCAAGACCGAGGCCGCTGCTTTCCGAGAGGCTGTGGAGGCCATTCACATGGGCGTAGTTCAGCCGTCTCCTGCGGCATTTCAATCTGACATCTCGTCTTGTCCCTGCTGCGTGCAGTGCAAATTCTTAGATTCCAAGCACTTGGGCAGGGATGGCTGCCCCCACCATGCTTACTATCAGCAGGTCCCAGTCCGAGCCGTATCACCATCAACATAACAAGTGACCGTTTGTTTCGTCCGGCAATAAATGTAAGGGTAACGAAACACACTTGCTCCTCGCCTTGAAAAGCCCGGCGGTCCTGGCATCTTGTGAGGTTTTGCTGTTGTCCAGCTTTGTCCGTTCATGACTTGTCCACGCTTAGCCTGCCCACAGCAGCCTTGCTTCGTGGCCTGGCATTTTTTGTGCTTTGAAGGGTGCTCAAGACTATATAGATGTAAAGCCGAAGCCCCTGTAAGTCATGACAGTTCGGCCAGAGAGCGTCGAGGAATGGTGCCACCTTGTGCCGCATCTGCTCTCCGACATGGGATGGCATTTGATCGTACAGAGTCCCACAACTGAAATGTCACACTGCAGCAGCCCTTGGGGCGGCAGCCTTTTAAAGCTTCTTGTTCGCGATGTAATGGTCATGGATCCTCCCGAGGATCCAGCTGAGATCCTGATCCGCCCAGAGACCCGAGCATGGAGTTGGCAATCCCAGCCGGCTTTGAGCGGGGAAGCTTGTGAAGAGCTGAGCGTCATTGCGCCTGGTGACTGTGTGCTTCATTGGTGGGGAGATTGGAAACTCGTGCAACTTTGCAACGTTATGTTTGGCGTCCTGGACAAGGAGTCGACGTACTTGAACTTTGGTCGCCAGGTGGAAGTACGAGACCGTCTCCGGCGAAATTTTCCGATGAAAGGTGATTGCACCGTGGCTCTGCACGACCATCACCAAGCGTTTGACTATCTGATGCTTTGCCGTCCACAAAGTCAGGAAAGGTATTACTCAGTGTACCTTGTCTTCGGGATTACCACAGACATGAATCTTTGCAAATGGGCAGCTCCACATCTACGCCTGATGTTGGACGTCGCAAGGTCCACCACTGCCTGGTACTTGAATCGGGAGGGCCTGGAAGTGGAGCGATGCAGGGATCGGAAGCTCTATTTGGTTCTCACCATCACAAGCTTTCGGCGTGGCTACCCATTGATCCCGGCAGATGCTTCCAAGGATTCCATAACAATCGATGCCGGCAAGGAGTATGGGCTCGCTAATTGGGTCCGCTACCACCCCTCAATGGTTGGTAGCCGCCACTTCCATCTGGCAGATTACCTTCGCCTGTTCTTGGAGAGGCTTGGCGATGGTGCACTGTTTTACCGGTCTCTGGATGGACAAGAGCTGTTGCCATACCAATGTGTTGTGCGTCAGGTGGACTGGCAAAAAGTCCGCAATCGTTTTCACGAGGCCTACATGTTACAGAAAAAGGCATACCGTCACGCCAATGGTGGAACAACTACACCCAAAGTCTTTGAGGACAATCCGCCAAGATTCTACCAGGAAGATTGCCAAGCCAGTCTTTCGCAGCGTGCCAAGGTGGCATGCAGCGAGCTGGGATTGACAGTGCGAAATACCTTTGTCGAGTTGAAAGAGGGTGATGGAGTTCGGGCCAGCAAGCGCTGGCGGACACTGCCTGCGGGCTTCCTAATTTCAAGTCCTTAAGCCACAGGGCAGAGCTGGAATGCATACCCCTTGCCTAGACATGCCTAGACCTTATTGCAGTGGGTGTCTGCTGTGCCTGGCATAAGCCGGAGGCAAGCTGTACAGCATACAGGCCCCGGTCGGAGCCAGCAGCTCACGTTACAACTCCATTGGCAAGCTGAAGTCTTGCCCCAGGCTGCGATGACCCTGAAACGTTCACAACGGACTGGTGCAGGTCGCAGTGCAAAAAATGCTCGCGAGAGCAGGGTAGTCATGTAAACGAGGCTGTGCAGAAACCAGATGTCCAGGGCACTTTTTTCGTTTAGGTCGATGCGTTAAACGTTGCACTTAACGCAAAAAGATGATGCCTTCACAGGCTTCATGACGCTACTGCAAAAAGATCTCTTTGTCACCTGACCATGTTGCTGGCGCCAGCGTTGAAGGCATGGCGCAGCGGTCGGACAGTTGGAGAGAGCCCGGGGCGCGCTGGCCCAGTTCAAACTCAAGAGACCACAGAGCAGGCAGGAAAGCTGACGGAAGTGAAGAGTCGTTCATTCACTGTCCTGGAAGCAGGGAGCATGTGCTTGTTGCCCTGCACGCAGGAATCGCCCAATCCGGGCGTGGCCACCTCAAAGAGGTGTTGCTATCAATGCTACAGATTCCCGGCTTGCATTATGAGAAGTGTCGTCTGCATCCAAAAGGAGGGCTCAACTGTTCCAGGACAGTTCCTCGTTCCTCTCGGTGATGACTCGCCCGGCGCTCGGCAGAGAATGCGCAGCATGGTTCTGAGATCTCCAACTTACCCTTGACAGCTTACATTGCTGCAGCCTTGATGATTCGCTTAACGGGAGAGCTTGACAAACCCCAGTGTGGCGCACACCCAACCCTCAGCAGCATCACAAGTCATAGCGCATGACTTTTGACCTTTCGTTATTGCATGGTGTTGCGCAGGGATCGGATTCTAGTGTGTGACGCTGAGCATGACGCTTCTAACTTTCCACGGCATTCCGAAGCAGTTTGAGTATTTCATGCTGTGGAAGCTCGGTCCAGTTGAGCAATTTATGAAGCCTTGCAGCCCCGAAGCCCCTGAAAGCATGGCTTCTGGAAGTAAATCTTTGCTTACAACTGCCAGGCCTGGAGGGGGTTCAAGCCCCTCCTTCTGCTCCCAGATATGCTCGGATCATGCTCAAGAAGCAGAGCGGCGAAGGGCGCCTTGTCGAGACTGTTCTTTTTTGTTGCTGATCGTGCTTGTCCGCGCTGACTTCTTGCAGTCTTGCTTCATGTCACGTGGTCTTGTTGGAACTTAGGCTCGAGTGCAAAATTGATGTGTTAACGTGGTCTCAGGTAAGCCGTAATTCTGGCAACGCAAGGGGCAGATTTTGTGAACTAGTAAGTACTGTGCGGCTACAAACCCTAGTGCTGGTTCCCTGGTACTAGCCTTAGTACTCCAACGCTCGTGCTCCAGTACTAGCACAGGTCACTGTCGTCATTGAAATCACACTGCCAAGCAGTTGTAGTAGAAGTAGTTGCCGCAACACTACTGCCAAGACGGGGTTTCTTCCCACGCCGAGGAGGAAGCCAAGCAGCAAAAGCTCGCAGAGTTGAATCAACAGACTTGATGGCAAGGAATCCGAGAAAAATGGCTGATCCAGACGTTTGATCACACTCGTGAGTCCAACCACAGACCCGATACCTAAAGTTTGGCTTCATTTGGGCCCAGTCTGCCACGCCTCTGTCTTAGAGGTGCCTGCATACAACATGCTCTTCATTCTGCATTAAAGATCACGTACCCCGACAGCCGCCGGAAACCTGTTGAGGCCCTGTTCAGCTCACCTTTCCCTAAAACAGCACCAGGGGGATTCGTTTCAATTGTATGTTTGGATCCAATCCAAGCGGTTCCTTCATATGGACACAAAATCGGCCCGACCCTTCAGATGCGTTCTCCAGTCTTACCATCCAAAAAGCCCTTCATGGGAGCCTACAGGATTCTTTAAAGATCCGCAATTTTGAGGGCTCAGTTACTGGAGTTTCTGAAATATTCAGGAATCCCCGCCCAGATTCGCATAATTTCGAAGGACCATACCCAAAGACTCAGAGTGACCCTACTAAACGAGACAGTGAATTGGCAAGGGCCCTCTGTTGGACGGATCTTCGAAAATCTCGAGATGGATTTGTATCGGGAATGCCTAGCCTCGTGCAATTTTAATTTCTTCAATGCCGGGCGTCTGGAATTTTTCAGGATCTGCGCACTTAGATGGATCTTGATAACGAAATAATATATGACTTCCAAATCTAGGCCCAGATAATCTTAGAAATTCCGGAGAAATTCAAAAATCCGTAAGCAGATATTTCATTCCTATATTGCTATCTTCTGCAGGGATCATCATGATCTGAGATGAGTTAGAGGAGAAGGCGACGCAACTGAGATACGAGAATTGAGCGGCAACACAATTAATGAGATGCGGCACGGGGTGCAGAACCGGAGACCCAGAATATAAGATACAGGAAATGAGATTAAGGGTAATAAAAGAGAAAAGAGGATGGAGAAGGCATTTAACTTTATCTTCCTCTATTGAGTAACGAATTTTATGAAATATTAGAAGGGTATAAGATTTGAATTAGATTATAATATGTTATTTTCTGATTTCTTGCGGAATAAATGAAACTTGATTAAATTCGATAATTATCTTTCTTAATTCGTATTTTTTCTGATAATTCAATCTACATATTCATTCATATCTAATTAGACTATTGATACTACTTATTTCTGTCATGAGAATTATTATATAAATATTCTCTTCTATTTGATGAATGCTGGTGGTATTGAATTATTAAATATTTCTATATTCGAATTATCGATCGATTTTTTTCATTTAGATAAATCGTAATATTGATTTTAATTGCTAAATTATTTATATTATTTATATTTCATTATATTTTGATTATTTCTATTGTATATATTATTCGATAGATAATATCGAGATGATTAATATGAATTAATGAAAATTGAAGAGATTTCTTTTGAAGAAAAAGATTATTCTAGCATTGAATTCTAAAAATAATCGATCGATTAAATCCTTTCAATATAAATGTAGAAGAAAATATTAATGACCTTCTATTTGAATGCGGAAAATCTCGATGATAAATATGATTAGTCGTCTCATGATCATTTTCAGAATAAAGATAAATTAGATTCTATACGAAATCAATATCTAATTAATTCTCTAAGATCTTCTTTCAGAAATAAGAAAATCCCTAATTTATTGATCAAATATCGTTATTCTTTATTTCCTATCCTCGAAATGAGGTTATTAGATTTCAAATAGATATTGTCCTCGCCCCATTGGAAGCTGATTTTAGCGAGCATTCGCTAAATATCCCTAGAATGCGTAGAATATCCCTGCTAGGCCAATCAACGATCCCTACAATACCCAACCGCCATCTTCCGCTATAATGCCCAACCGGAGAATATCTCTGCAATGGGATGCAGCGCTCAACCACTAAATATCCTCGCAATGCCCAACTGCAAAATATCTCTGGAATACCCAATTATAAGATATCCCTATAATGCCCAATTCCGGAATATCCCTGCAATGTCCAATCGCCAAATATCCCTGTAGGGTCCAACCGAAAAATGTCCCTGTAGTGCCCAACTGCAGAATATCCCTGGAATGCCCAAAAGTAGAATATATATATTCTCATAATGCGCATTTGCAATATTATAGGGAAGACAATTGATAGGAGGCAGAGAATATTATATTTCTTGCAACTTTAGGATAGCGATGCTCGAAAGATATAATCTAATTCATATATCTCATATGAAATATACAATATTCTTAAAATCGAATAATTCATTAGAAAATGATATTTTCATATAAATTAAATAAATAATGAATTTATGATTTCTCATTCTTCGAAAATCATGAGTATTCTTTATATGAAGAATCTTGTTAATCGGTATATCAGTATTGATGATCAATAGAATTAAATAAAAAAATAAATCCTGAATATATATTGATTTTTCAATCATTCCAATAATCGTAGATATTTAAATTCAATCGAATAAATAATATATTGATATAAGATATTTTTCCTAATATCATCGAATATTTGATAATCAAATATTGTATCATATTTTCTAATATATTCCTAATATGCTAATATTTGAAGATCAATTATTTTTGAAGATATTCTTCTATATATTAATTCATATTCATGAAAATCTTATTATCAAAAATGATCTATATTCTATGATTCATTATTTCTATTTAGCAATATCCAAAATACGAATAATTTTTATAGAAGAAATAATAGATTTCATTATCAGATAATTTCTACGATTCGTAGATTTCAAAGAATTCAATTTGACGATATCTATGAAATAAGGAAGAAAATTGATATATATATTTTTAATTTAAGAATGAATTTATAAGAGAAATACGTTATCTATCTTCTATATTATTATTATATTTATTGATAGAATAAACGGATTTGAATTAAATATGCAAATATTCATTTTATCTATTATTGATCATAATGGGCATAAATTTATTTGAGGATATGTGTAATGAGAAGTCCGATGAATAATTGGTATATAAGATCATATTGGATGCGTGGTTTTTTTTCTCGGTCATAAGAGATATATCAAGGATGCAGATTGCATTCATGATATAAGGGATTTGATTGGAAAATAATAAGATATTCATAAAAAATGATAACGATAATATATATATCGAAAATTGGAAAACGATAACCGACTCCTCAATTTTCCACGGACCAATTGTCCAGACCTTGATTAAAGATTATATATCATATATAGCCCAATAAATAATCAATATATAAGACCGCCTATGATAAAATCAACCTACCTATAGATTGGGAAAATTTATTGATCTTCGTCCCGGATGACACAATCTGCCGAGCCGTCGCGCAGACAACCAAAGAGAGATAAATAATTCGAAATCTTGAAAGATTTTTGGTAGCGCGGGGATTAAGGCGTTCCGCCAATCAATCGCGCAGAT